AATTTACAGTCTTTTATTTAAGAACCCAACCATTTCACTATTGCGTCACACACAGATGATTTAAAGTTAGATATTCACATGTATTGTTATTATTCCTTTGCCAAAAGTTTTCGTTATGAATAAAAAATAAAAGATTTAACATTCAACTTTATTTATTTAAAATAAAAGATGTGTACAATTTATTTTAGCATATTTGCAGTTTAGCCCTAGGGTGTTATTGGCAGCACTGATTATAGTCTGACCCTTGAGCTTCTACCACAGCTTGGATGCTGCCAAACTCTGGTTTTACATTACATTAACATTTCACACATCATTATAATAACAGTTTTAATACAAGGTAGTAAAGTCGAAAATAAATTGTAAGTAAGGTATGAATGCAATTTCAGGTAAACGTGTAATTTCCTGTAAAATTGCTAGTACGAAATCTAAAACCAGATAAAATCCTTATAGGTACCACTTACTACCTAATCACTATATCAGGAATCAGAGATACGCTATGTAATCCCTATAAAGCATTTTATGTAAATAATATTATTTATTAATATGTATAATAGGTACTTCAGTACTGGATGCGTAACTTCATTGATAATATGTGTTCCTTTTTAAATATATTTTTACTTTTTGTTTTTATGCTTTGCCTATCACACGGTCAATTATTTTTTTTGATGGAAATCGTTACCCTAAGTAAGTTTTACCCTAATTTGACCCAAAAAACTTTTTTCTATTTCTATTTATTCTTTATTGTACACACTGAACACATACATATATATAAGTAACAAGGAAATGTCATGTACAAAGGCGAGCTTAACTCAAAACTGACTTTTCTTCCAACAAACCTTGAGCGAATAGAGGACAACAGAGAAACGTAAGGGCACAGTCATGCGTACGTAGGAATCAACACAGAAAAGCATAAAAATTAAACAAATACCGACATAAATTAGGATAGCAAAATATATTATACGTTTACAAACATATATATATATATATATATATATATATATATATATATATATATATATATATATATATACATACGTACATCCATACCAAGGGTCTGATTATTGAAGGGACAGATAATAATCCCTAGGGAGGGAGTTCGAAGGAGGAGAGAAGAAGAAGAGCGACAAAGATTGTTCCTGGGAATAAAGTGCTCGAAGCGCTCACGGAGATATGAAGGACAAGTGGGGTTGTATAAAGTTGAATAGAGTAAGGAAAGAATATGGAGATCTCGACGCCGCCGAATACGTAACCAATTTAGCTGTTTCCGAAATTCCGAAACATGATCGAACTTTTTAAGACCAAATATGAAGCGGATACAGAGATTTTGTAACCGTTCTAGCTTACCCCAGAGTTCTTCGGTAGCGTTTTTGTCTCAGGTCCTGTGTCGCCTGTCCCCGGTTTGATGCGTCTGGAGTGCCGCGCCCATTTGTAAGAATTAACTGCGCATACTTATTAAAAAGTACCTACTAATTGTTGATTCTATTATTTTGTGTTTAATTTTTTTTTATGTTAGAGCAGACGAGCAGACGGGTCACCTGATGGAAAGTGACCATTATTATTAATTAATTTTATGTATTGTTTTTAAATTTTTTACCATTACCATTAATTATTATTTAATTGGTTTAAATATAACTATTGTAAGGTCTAACATAGGTAGATAACCAGAATAGATACTAATTAGTTAGATAACTACTTCTTAAATAATCGTAAGTGATTGTGCCTTTGTGTATACTTTAAATGTTTAAGTACTTAGATATCTTTAAAATTATATTTTGCGAAAGTACGAAATTCCATGATTTTTTCAATTTAAATAAAAGGTTCCTAATTTTTGGGCTCCTTATACGTCACATCAGGTCTGAAGCAACTATTAGCACAAGACAAGTGTGCTCACATCTGAAATTAAGCAGTTTTTTTTCATATTGCTTATTTTTTAATAAAATAAATTGTACTCGTACGTGTATGAATGACGACCTGGTGAAGGTCGCGGGATGCCGTTGGATGGAGGCAGCCAGGACCACTTGTTGTGGCGAACCTTGGGGGAGGCCTAGGTCCAGCGGTGGACGTCTTGCAGCTGAGATGATCATGATAATTGACTATTAAATAGCTTTACACTAAGTACAAACTACATATGTACGATTAGTTCTCACCACCTATGCACGGTCTAAGCTGAATAGGTATCTATTCTATATTTGCACCAGGGACTTCCGTTCTAGGGTATACCTGGTTCCCCGGCTATTAGTACCCGGCGACGGCGTGCGGTTTTAGTCGGTTCGAGTCCGACATGCCACCGACAGGTGGTATCCGAGGGGATTTCCGCACGGAAAAAAAAAAAAAGGTATCTATTCTATATAAGAGTCATAAACTTAGGCCTAAGTATATTATAACTCAATGGGCCACATATGTAATTGTAAGCTATTTATGCGGACGTTTAACATGGAGTATTAGGACAAAGAATGTACCTATTTATATAAATATACTTAAACTAAAGTACACCCCTATATGAAATAAAGTGAAAGTGATATTTCCGCTTATCGTGAAAGGAAAAGATAGGTACTTCAACTTGCCCTGAATTAGCTGAACCGACAGACATCCTGTCTAAATTTCTATAAAAATGTTTATGAAAAAAGGAAATAACATTTTGCCACATATTTCCATATTATGAGCAACATTTACTTGAAATTTATTATATTTCATAAATACATAAAAGAACTCACTTAAGCATAGAGATCTAGAATCTAGAATATATATCTAGATCTAGAACAGACTCAACTCATTTGTAGCTCTATGATAGCTAAAACTTAAATTACTTTTATCCAACTGCATTGTAAATACTTAACTGGAATGCTGCCGACATTCAAACTATTTTTGTACTGCAAAAGAGAGCGCTTCGAGCACTTTATAATTTAGGCAATTGTTTTTCATTGAGGCAGAAATTTAAAGAAATAAACATAATGACAGTGGCATGTCCATATATATGAAAATGTAATATATGTTCATAACAACAAGGATAGCTTTTTAAAAAAGTGATGTACATTATATAAATACCAGAAATAGAAATAAACTTTTAGTACCTGCCTCTAGACTCTAGAGATTAACAAGTCGTTTCGAGGTCAATGTGTCCGATTTTATAATAAAATCCCAAATGATATTTAAGACTTAATGTGTTCTGTACTGTACTAACTGCATTAACAAATTTAAATCCGCAATTAATCGTAAATTATATCAGAAAGCCTATTACTGAATTGTGTATTACGAGTACATCGAAGACAAAAATGCTTGGGAATAATTTAGCGCAGGCTATTTCTTAATGTGATGAAATGTGATGTGGGCTAGGGTGTTTTTTATTATTATTTTCTATTTTTTATGTTTCACTTCACTTTCTCTTTCATTTGATCTTTTTTCCTTATCGTATTTTTTCTCTTTATTGTCTTTTCCCTTTTAATCCTTAATAACGGACATACTGGCACACATTGGAACAATGTTGGGGTATATGTAATGATGCCATTGTATTTATCTGTTAATTGCAAAAGAGTGACCATGAGTTTGTTTGCCCTTTCTTGTCATAAGGCTCAACCCCTTAGAAACGGGCGGTTGTGGATCGGCACAGGCATATCATAGATTGCGTATAAGCATAATTTTTATTAAATTTATTTTTTACAAAACAGAGATTGTTGCTATTGTGTGTGTGTTGATCATCAACACATGATGACTTTAGAGGCTACATAAAAGACGATTTACAAAATATTTTTTTTTTTTTTATGAAATAAATATTTTTGAATTTAAAATAACGCAGACACAAAACCAAGTGATTTGTGTAAAACTGGTTAAATAATTTTTATTCTTTCAAATAAACGGAACGCATTACGCTTAGCATTTAAACGGCTGTAATTTGATTTTATGAGAGCAATGACCTTTTTTTAACTATTTCACTAAAAACTTGAAAAAGATAAAGAAAGAAATATAAAAACACAAAAGATTGACTTTGACCCCGACGTGATTTGAACACGCAACCTTCTGATCTGGAGTCAGACGCGCTACCGTTGCGCCACGGAGTCATTGATGACTCTTTCAAATAACCTTATCATAACCTTAAAATATTTAACAAAGAACGAGTTAACAACAGCTTATAAATATTAATATTTTAAATTTTAGTGTACCAAACTACATATTATTAAGGTTTAGCAATTGCCGTTATTCCACACGCATTGTATGTATGGTTTTCTAAGATAGTAAAAAAAATTCAAGATCAGTAGAACGATAAGCACATAGTAAGCAAGCGACATCTATTATTAAACCGAGGTGGTTGTTAAGGTGTGTCTGCGACTTTGAATGGTATTATTAAGTATTGATTCGGTCCACTAGATGGCGCTTCTGACTTATTTAATTTTGTTTTTGAGTTCATTATCATCATTCTATTGCCGTCCTCTGCTCGACCACAGATAACTATATACTAGCCAGAAACTAGGCTGGACATTGGCCTCTCCCATTGTAATTTAATTAAATTCTTATTTATAGTAAATTGATGTATTTTAGGAAAAGTGTTTACATTTTAGGAGCGTAATGAGTAATAATGTGCTTATAATTTCATCTTTATGTAGATGTATATATATGTTTATATATGTAGATATATAAATATATTTTAGCAGTAAATCTTTAATAAATAATGAACGATTTGTCAACATTTAGATTAATCACATCATCACATCATCAGCCTGTAATAGTCCACTGCCTCTCCTTAGAGTCAAAATATTGATTAATAGTAATAACTTTTTAACCGAATCATTATTTTGCCTATGATTTCTCAAGCCCCTGTGGCCTAATGGATAAGGCATCGGCCTCCTAAGCCGGGGATTGTGGGTTCGAGTCCCACCAGGGGTACGAAATGAAGTTTTTGAATTATATTTTGTATCGGCCTCCTAAGCCGGGGATTGTGGGTTCGACTCCCACCAGGGGTACGAAATGAAGTTTTTGAATTATATTTTGTTCTTTATGGTTTATTCCTACAAAATATAAATTATGCTTTTTAAAATTAATAAGGCTGACACAATAACAGAAAGTTCTGATTGGAGAATTCTTCCGAGTGCTCGTAATGGCAGACATCGAAGCCCTGTGTGAGTTATGTAATAGCCAACTTCATGAGGTAGCCGGCAGTCGTTATCTGTGGACATAGCAAATATGCATGGCATATCAAAATATTAAAACCAGTAAATTAAAAAGGTCCGTCACAAAACTGTAAACAGAAAATAAGAATTTTCTACCTAACCTTATTTCTGTTAAATAATTTTATATGTAGGTATTCACCCCATAAGGATAATAAATAAATAAGTATCATCGAATATTAGGTATGATAAAATAAATATTTTTACTACCACAAATAATATTGACGTTAGGCAGTTTTGTAAAAACCTTAGTTTTTTTGTAAAACTAAAGTTTCTGGTTGACCACACCCTTGATTTTTAATAAATACGAAAAATCAAAAATATGTACATGTATTATTTATTATAATGCATAACAACAAAAAATAAGGTTAGCCGTATCTTAATATACTAAAAGCCGACCCCAACCTAGTTTCGGAAAAAGGCTCGGCGAAAAAAAAACATAACTTTCTTAATCCTATATATTAATCTAAATATAACCTAACTGAAAATTAAAAGTATTAAAACATAATAATTATGCTCTTGCCAAGCGAAACAGCTTTGATGTATATATCATTGATTTTATTATTTGAAGTTAAATTTCGAACAAAGATTCAACGGCGCCGTGGCTTAGTTGGTTAAAGCGCCTGTCTAGTAAACAGGAGATCGGGGGTTCGAATCCCCCCGGGGCCTAGCTTGATCGACAGCATTCTTTTTGGCTTTTGTTTTTTTAACTTATTTAATTTTAACGCTAGTTTATTAAAAATTTATATTTTATTTCATTTTATTTATTTAAAACAATTCAGACTAATTTTGTCTCCTCTGTAAATGTGTGTTTAAATTGAAAATAAACTTTTTTTTCAACTTACGTGCACAAGTATTGGAACTAGACGTCGCTGCCACAGTAAAATGTGCGGGCAAACAAAAGTCCGGTGAAGGGCATGGATTAGTCAAGTTAAAGGCGTGAGTTCCACGCTCTTCAATGGTCTGACAACTATGGGACGCTTCTGCTCCTCGCCACATGCAGACTAGCAACTCGCCTTGCCCACTGTTACGGAACTAGATAAAAATAAAACAATAAAAAAATACAGCCTTTGAACTTAACTACAGTAATTACTGCGTTTATAAACAGTCGTTCATCTGTCTCAAATGGTGCGATTCTACGAAGAAATTTGCAGAGATATTTTTTCATCTATATTGATATTTAGCTATTTTGGGTTGAATAATAAAATAATTATTGTCGCTTGGTATGTTAAAGGTTAAATAAGATAATGTTCATGCAAAAAAAAGAAAAATTAATAAAAATAATAAATAATATTAAAGCATAATGAAATCAAAACTTTAACAATAAGGTTCAACTTTATACTCGTATGTATCAATGCAGGCACTTACCTGAACTTGTATCAAAGGTTGCTGCTGCAAATAGAATGGATGTATCCTATAATACATCGGTCTGTTTGGTAGAACAAAGTCTTCGTACTCTACTTGCTTGAACACAGTGTTGTTGAAAGGACACTGTGGGCCGATTAACCTGGACGGAATGTGGTTTTTCAACAAGAAATCGTCAACAGCATCTATGACATTTTGCACTCTCGTTGAAGGTGTCTGAAATGAAACCAAAACAGTTTTATTACGTGACACCGAAATAGAAGGTCGCAGGTTGATTTTCTTCGTTGCATTCCTTACAGAACACAGAACCCTTCCTGAACTCATTGGGAATCTTCGAAATTCATGCTGACCAAATGTCCTAAACTATGACAGACGTCCTGCAGTGTAGCATGTCCTGGGACTTCTCGAGTGACATTACTCGACGTGTTCGTGAGTCACTGTTGTTGAAACTGGTGTACAGGAGTTATAATAGTGGGCGTGTCGTAGGGATTAGTCCCATACCCAGGTAATTGTATCGAGGATTTCGATTTCAACAAAAAAAATCTTATTGTTGACAATATTTAGGTAAATGTATGTTGACACCGGACTTATTATCAAGCGGGCTGCGTTCCATGTTTAATGCTTAAAATAATATTAATGCATATAATAGAGGTAAGGATGAGATGACTGTAAGGTCACATGTGCAACGTGCAAGAATCACATGTTTCAGCCCTCCCCATCTCTGAAACAAGGGTTGGAGCTCTAGTTACCTCACTAAGTCGGTGAAAAATAAGGAAAGAACTGAGGGCCGAGTGCAAGTTTATTTCACATCTACTTACTCTGGGCGGCGAGCGCGTTTAGCGTTGCGATTGGTGGAGATTTCGGTGCAGGCCAATCGTAGGACCGCACGCGGTCACCTTGACAATCGAGTAGAAGTAAAATAAATTCGCACTTGGCCCTCTGCTTAACACCGGTTTTCTGTGAAGCCGAGCCGGTCGAGCCTCGCCCATCTGTGTCAACTTACCCTTAAAAATAGTTCAGAATAGTCCATATATTCACTGATTACTTGAAAATCTGACAAATTTTCAGCCACGTACGTGAAATAAACATCAAAATACGTAGTTCTAAGTGAACTCATCAGACTTCTCGCTTGTTCCATTTCTGTAGCAGACGGTCGGTCACTTGGACTTATTATAAGAACTATTGTGCTAAGCGCTCCGCTAGCATTATTTGCTATTTCCATTAATGAACTGTTCAATGAGTGACGGAGGACTGAAGACATCACAGTTGGCAGGTTGAGTCTATTCGGCCCTGAAAATAAAGGAACTCAAAATCATAAAAATTATCGTAGAGAGGAGACTTGTCACTAAATCAATTCCTAGAAAGATACATACCAACGTACCTATCTCTTTTTCGTTTGCAACATAATGGTGTTTTGAAACATTTAAAAATGACACACTGAGAACTTGATTACAGGTATTCAGTATTGGTGGTTTTTGCTAATCGCTAAAACTAACTAAATTAGTGAAATATCTAAGTATTCCACAAATGTTTGATTGGCATAAAGAATAACGTTTAGCAGCATAGATAGGTATTGAATTTGAATAAATGTCTCTTATAAACTAGTTATATTATAGTTTAGAAATACGTAGCGTATTATTCGGATTACTATGATTTGGAACTAATATAAATTGGGAAGGAATCCGATAGAACTTCACAGGGAGGATTTGCGACTTTAATATCAATCGATTTTAAGTCAACGCATCTTCATCTTATGCAGTTATGTAGTTCACCGTTTAACGATAACAAAAATAGTATGACAGTTGATCAATTATTACTTAATAACGTCACATATTTGTTTTTCGTAAATATTGTGTTTGGCTCGTACTCTCTGGTTTGGAGGACTAACACAGTCTGAGATGATACTGGGAAAACATAGGTTGAAGAACTTTCCCTCAAGTTCTTCAACAAGGTCACATCGATGGGCCTGTTCATGATAAAAATATATGATAAACAAGAGGTTTTTCTAATTCTATTAAGTCACGAAAATTAAAAGTCTTTATGACGCACAAACAAGTAAACCTTTACCGTTTTGAATTCCTTACTAAATTTCTTAATTAGATAATTTATCCAATCTATACCTATTATTACTATGAAGCTGTTTGTCGAGATATGAGATTAGCGTTTTGCGTTCTTTTAGTGTTGGTTAGCCCATTTATTGAGGAAGGGTTAAGGCTATATAACATCACGCTACTACCAATAAGAATCAAGCATCAATAAAAAATGTTGTAAAAACGGGTAAAATTTATTCCTTAGACAACCGACGACGACTTTAGGGGCTAATGACTTACATTGATCTGTATAATTCTTTATGTGTGAGAACACCGTAGTTAAGTTATGTGACGGGGGTGCAATCCATTGTCCCGAGTTTCCATGCAGGAGAGACATTGTCCCCCGTTGCAAGCTTGATTCCAGTGCTCCTCCCATCCATCTAAGGATAAATGTTAAAATAAGTAAAACAGTACTCAATATAAATAGAGAAATCACTGTTATTTCCATATATATGCTATAAAAGCTAACAAGTTGCTGGCAGTAGGTTTAAAAAATTAAATACAAGATGTAAATGGAAAACGGATCTTTTTTCGAAATTTCAATAAATGAATCATAATTTGAGAAGACTTTTGTGACGTATAGCTTAGGAATTCTTGACATTGTTCTCGTTATTGCAAAAATGTACCTATAGATACCTATACATCTATAGCATAACTGACGTCTCTAGTTTAATGACTTAATTAGTAAATAAGATTTAACAGATCAGTAACATATAATTATTGCACGACCTTGCGTAAATAGCATTCAGAAGTACTTACGACATGAATTCTTCAACGTCGTTGCCTTTCCATGACCCGTCAGTGGCTACAATTAAATCAATAACTGGCACACTGTTGCTCACTCGGCATTCATTATGATTTTGTCTCAAGAAAGCCGCTGAAATCATATAAACACAACATAAGACACATACACTCTGTGCATAAATTTAAGCAAGACAGAAATTCGTTACACTATTCTCACGATCATGCTATATTTTGTAGAATTAGCTTAATAGTTATTGTATTCAGCTACCTTCTAGGTACCTAAGCTTAATTATAATTATTTAGGTAGACTTTCATCAGTGACTTGCAGGGACAGACCTCATTTTAAACTTATTAAATACATAAACTATAAATACATAAATAAATACTTATTACATATAAAATTACTTTAAGATCTCCCCGTATGCGTTGGTCTCAGGTCATTTCAAAAATTCATCCAAATGTTCAGTAGTAGTTTTAGCTTATAAATGCAACATTCATGCATCCGTCCTAATTTGCTCACAAACTTCTAATCTTAGTGCTTCATGTAAATTATTAGTAGGTAGCTACATATAATACTTAAATTTTAGTTAGCACCATTTACAAAGTGGGTTCTGTCAGCAATAGTAGACGTAAACTCTAATAATAACAATACTACTGCACTAATAAACGAAAACTCTAATCACTGTTTCGATTTCGATATCCTACAGATGAAAACTTAAAGTCATATAGGTAATGTAATAACAATTTTCATTTCAAATTCATTTCCTTCCTTCCAATGCAAAGATTCAGTAAACGCTAATTACTTACTAACGACGCCTGGTAGGCAAAACTACAATTTTTTAAAAAATCATTTAATGTGCATATACTCGTAGACATATCATATTTAGTAGTCAAATGGCTTTAAATCAATATATCACATTGATGATATAGTTAAAAAATTAAACTTACGTACACAGGTAATTGTCAAAAGCAGTTACAGCAGCATTTGTTATCCTCTCCATCTCCTGTACAGGCATATAGACAGTTATTTGGCGCAAAGATAATACGTAGGCAAATTTAGAAGCTTCTGTAACTAAATCTGTACTGTTGAACAAATTGTTGAATAGAGTTCTTCTGTTACAAGCTCGCACTGTGGGCTCAAAAGACACCCCGTCGTTTGAATAGTACATGTCTAACACTTGAGACAGTCTGAGAGTACGTCTCTGCTCTACCCATTTGGGGACGTACTGCGCTAGTATTAGACCTGAAATAATATTAAATCCAGTTGTTAGTTTTCGGAAAGATAATTAGTTCATAAACATTTAATAAATAAAAATAGTCTTCGCTTGACTTGTGTGAAAATCTAACAAATAAACTCACTATCGCATTTAGAATAACGAGTTTATCAACCTACAAAGACCGTTATAAACAATTGTGACATTATATTAGTCAAAGAAAGGTTATTAATAAACCACTCTTTATTGTAAGTGTCAGTATATTGTAATGTTCAAAACTCAGGTCAATGACTGTATTGTTTCTTTGGATTTAACTACGAAATATTCTACGGTGTTGTAGATGAAGTGTGGGACACTAGCGAGATATAATAACCAAAAATAACTTAACTCCCTCGGCAACTTATAAGACCAAGTGAATCTACAATACATATAATAATAATCACAACAGTCAATCTACAATATTAGATTTAATTTCATAAGCATGTATATATATATATTTAAAAGACAGCTCCCGCATTAGGAATACCTATATCCTGTATCGCGGGGGACTCAACAAACATACATGAAACGGACACAAAGCGCACCTAGATTCAGAACAACAATTTGTGGATCACACAAAGTGTCTTCCCATGTATGGTTTGAACCCACAACACTCGGCATAGTAGGAAGCGGCGTGGCGACCGCTTAAGCTACTACGCCATCCGTGCAGTCAATATAAGTGGGTAGTGTATTATTTCCATCTTTATCGACTGTATCACTGATATTATGTACAAACAAAACGAAAAGCCTTAAAATATAATTGATCTTTATAATCAAGCTTAAAATATTTTTTGTTTGATTGTATAAATGTGCTTTCGTCTGGAAATATCAATCTAATTTTAATATTTTTGTACTAAATTAGTTATTCATGGAGGAAGGTTGTGGGCTATAACATTACGCTTCGATCAAAAACCAATAGACGGAAAGATAGATTTATGTGCCGATATACTTTCATCACTCGTTTTATTGATTCACAGTAGGACTTAATAAATTAAATAATTATATTTTAAAGTGTGCCAACAAACCATCAATGCCAGCTAACATCTCAGCGTCAGTGAAATGCCAGTCGATGATTGAACCGTCTGGGGGAAAGATGTAGTGGTGTCTGGGCAGTAACGTGTCGTTCCAACGGCTGTTGGTGCCAATCGACATGTTTTGTGCGACAGCGCCTACCCTCGGTCCTTGGTTTACCACTACTTCTGCTAAATCACCTGTAGATAGCAATATTTTTGTATTGGACACTGTCAACAGTAAATTGTGAATCATCATCTTACTGCCAAGACTTTTGGATGGCCGCCTGAATTACACCATACTTCAAGGGCATGTAATCAATTAGAGGGAAAAAAGGAGAATATGTATTTCGGTAAGAATAACTGATAGTGCGAAGGAGCTATATAGTGTGCATGCAGTTTCTTTTTCTTTTAAACGGGCACCCGCCATCGCAGTGTTGCTGCCTTCTAGCACCTATACATACAGTTACATACTCTTTAATAATTAGAAGCTAGGGGCGCGTACCCGCATGTCCGTCCTGTGACTAAAGAAACCACTAGGGTAGGGACATAGTATCGTCAAACAAGGATTATTAGATGTAGATACTGTCAGACAAAAGTTTTTTTTTCCTTATACGTTTGCTGCGTGTTATGGAACCATAACGTGGCATAAGGCAGTATAACTACAGTTACTTAAGCCGTAGACTTATTTTTAATCGTCAGAAATAAAATAATACAAATTCATAACCCTGACATAAATATCCCTGATCATCGAACAACTTAACAGATTTTCTTAAATTATAGCTATGAACACTCTCGAACAAATTAGCTTTTAAATGAATAAACTAAATCCAGATCAATGCATCCATTTAGGAGCAAAGATGTCATGACAAACATACAGATGCACACGTTAAATCTATAACACTCCACCTTTTTGCATTATGCGACTGGTCCCAGTAAAGTCACTTGTAATGCTAATGTTTATAGGCAAGGACGGATCGCTATTATTTATAGTTATTTGTGTTATATTTAATATGGTATAAATAAAAGGAAAAGTACCAGCTAAAGTAGCCACCCATATATTACTGATCTCAGGAATATCAGACTGCCATCTATTGCCCTGATCATTTGGCAAGGTCTCTATATTCTCGAACCATTCTTGCTTAGCAGACGACATCATAGGTTCAGCAATATCTTGCTTGAATATGTTTGCGTTAAGTATGTCGGTGACAGACACTCGCTGAGGTTCCAGTGACGTGGCGATAGCAGCGACTAATGTACCAGGAGATACCGTCCCCCAGTTAGTTTGGATTACACCTTCTTCAATAGGACATCTGCTGTTTATTCTGAAATTATTGTACAAAAGTAAAAAATAAATTAGTTATATAAAATCTGCTATGTCTGAATATGTCGTCTACAACAAAATTTGAAACTAAGAAACTAGTATGTTTTGATCAACACTAAGTACATGCCTCACAGTATCTACTATAATTAACAAAAGTATTATTAAAGTATCCGTTCATAATGAAGCCCAAACTTTATGGACTCGACCTAAATACAAAGCCTTGTGTCGTTAAAAAAACTTTAATAAAAAATACATACAGTGGAACATAGAACCTCCTCCTTTTTTGAAGTCGGTTAAAAAGTAGTATCTATCTGAGATGCTACCCGACTATATTTCTGCAGTGACATTGGATGCTTTAGTTTAAATGATTAGAGCGAGGGATAGTTAAAAATCTTATCGTTATCGTTTCACACTTTACGTCAATATGTGAATCACGACATCTATGGATAGCAATAAACAAATAGGTATAGTGCTGAAGTAGAATTTCAGTAACAATTTATTTACAAACTAGCTGGTACCCGTGACTTCGTTCACGTAGAATTTGAATAGCGCGGCCTTAGTGATGTAGTACGAGTACGGTACGCGATTGCCGTCCATGAGACCTCGGGTTCGACTCTAGGACCCGAGAAAATATTATAGATTTTTTTTTTGAGAAGAAAATCCTAAATTACTCCTTATATAGACAGCTACCTGGTAGTAAAATATTATCAAAATCGATCCAGCAATTTTTAAAGATTACCCGGCACAAAAATATTTCAATTGGATTTTAGCCATAGGTATCGTGCAAATAACCGCAATAGCATTAAAAAAACCTATTATTTTGAGATTACAAACAGACACTTCAATTTTATTTATTTTTATGGATACAATCGCTTACGATGACACGATAGTAGTAATGCTCCGTGTAGGTCGATAGCCTCGAGGAGCCTTTTACAGTGTGTGAACGTGGCCTTTCCGTAAGTAATTTGTATGTTCCTGTCATTAACTAGGTTTGTTTAAAATACCTCAGAACGTCAATAGTCTCAGACTTCTGTTTATGTTTTGGGCTGGCATTTATACTTAGTGTCACTATTTGTTATATTACTTTGTTACATTAAATAAATATAATATTATATACAAGTATTCGTAAACTTAAGTCACAAGAGAATTGCCATACTGTATGTATATGTATATACCTATACAATATTAACCCTTATAAGATCACTCTCTTGTCCTTCTGTCCGTCTGTCTGTCCGTGTATCACCACCGATTTTCTTAGGAACGAGTGGACCTAGCAAGTTGAAATTTATACCAGATACTGAGGTCTATAGTCCCCATTAGGTGTATAAAAATCAAGGTCCACAACATCAATTCAACAAGATAAAAAGGCAAATTTAGATTTTCGCAAAAACTTGTAAGTACCAAAATTTTCCTTAATTTTCAAATTTCTTTTTGACGTGACAACGTCTTATAAATTGGTTTGCCGGGTGACACTTCAAGAAACTGCGTTACGCTCCGCTCACGTTATGCGCTCACAATGAGAGCGAGTGAGAGGCACGCGTCCCTTCCACTCGGGCATGGTTAGCCCGCCTAAGAGCGAGAGAGACAGACATAAAAAGTGAAAGGCACGCGTCCCTTCCACTCGAGCACAGTTAGCCCAGTTAGTTTAAATTGTTACTATTATTTCATCCTTCTTCCTACTATACGAATGAATATTCACACTAAAATTATTTTACCACTCAAAGTCGTTGTCACGTAAAACTTTCGCCCGTATACCGACTTTACAGGCAACCAATTTTTTTTTGGAATTTTCCCTTTACTTGTGCTGTAAGACCTTGCTTTTAACCAAAATTGTCAATTCTAGGTCAACCGGAAATATCCTATGGGTTTTGGGTCGAAAACCTATATACTAGATGCCGTTGACCCAGAATCACGTAAAATCTGGGTAGCTACGGAACCCTCGGCGCACGAGTTCGACTCGCACTTGACCGGTTTTTTTTATATGATGTTGACAGACAACATTTTACATTACACATTAGCACCTGCATTCGATATTCACTTAGGGTCTCTATCAATAACTATTATGTCCTAAATACAATAATGTATATGCTTTTATTGTTTTTTGTTTGTTTCTAAACATTCTATAGCATAGTGCCATGTTTATTCACTGTTCTGTGGTGCCACCTATCGATAAGATATTTATTAACTTACCTAGTACTACTTTGGGTGACCATTGTTTGGGATTGTTGGGCTGAGACAGGACATACAACATTCTCATCACCCCGCTCCCACCGCCTAACTGTAGAACTTAGCATTTCATGAAGAAGACACTTCTCTTCCACCGGCAATGTTTCATCTACATTGATAAGGTTTTGACTTGGTAAAAATATGTCCATGAGCAGTTTATACTTATGAAATTGAAAGCTGGATGCTCTGTACGGCAATAGAAATTCGGTTTCAACGGCATTGGCTGATGATTGTTCAATGCCATCTAGACGCAAGCTGAGAAATTAAAAACGTATAAATTATATTTTGATCATAGTGTTTTGGACTGACACCGATTTAAAAATAATTAAACATTGTTTTCATATTGTTCTAACAGAGGGCAACACTAAAATTCCTAGATTAGTTTTCCTCACATAAAGGGTACAATCACGACGAAATGAGTTGGTGCACCTACCACTGTTTCCAATATAAGATATACTTATATAAGCGGAAAAAGTTATCTAAACATTGATGACGTTAAGATTGTCGGCGAGTCTGTTCACTAAAGCAAAAAGGAAGCAAACATAGCAGAATGTTAATTTTTCTCACACCTTTTAATTAACTACCTAACCATCTAAATTGTGCTTTAAATATCGAGAGCACATTTCTAGAGTGCTAATTCTTGATATTAGAGAGGTAATAATAGGTACTCAAACTTTGTAAGGCGATTACACCTGTCGCGAATAACAATAAACGACTTGGTAGAATAACTTTACTGATGAACCAGCAGCCCCTGATCTACGATTTTCTCGAACCGGGGCACAAAATTGATAGTGGCGCCTCTCTCTCCAGCGTTTGAGATAAAAAAACTTAAAAAACTCACAAGCTCTACTGTGGGCCTGTGTGGCGCCTTTTTCTTACAAGTCGACGGTGAGCCAACCAGGCTTCCGTATGCTAGGCATTAGTATTATACATCATCATCATCATACATCATCAGTATTAATCGTACTATATTTTGACGTCTCCTGAAACTGACACCCGGGGCGGGAGCCCCGGTGTGACCCCCTAGATCCGGGGCTGTGAACTAGCGACGCTTTTCCATATTAGTCTAATTAATAATTAAATACAAAACGGCAGTAACTATTGTTTTGTCTTTACATATTTCAATGTTCAGATTCTATCCAGCGAGCGAGATGTTCGTCATATGTTTCGTCAAGAAAATCGTTATCATTCTTTGACTAACATTTTACTATTTGGAAAAATTAATCGTGGCGTGAGCTGGAGTACCACAAACAAATGTTTGTTATTTAAGTTGAAGATATTTAAAATGTGAGATGTTAAAATTCTTGCATTTTAGGTTCAATACATAAACATATAATCTACAATAGAATTTTGTTTCACAACCATACCTATGTACCTATCCTATTTAATATTGACACAGATATAATATCATACCTACGTCCAAGGATTTTTGGGAAATCTTTAACTCTTGATGCCAGTAGGTACTCCAGAGTATCAATAAACCTTTTAATGGGTCTTTAGGAAAAATAGTTAAATGTAAATTTTATTTAAATGGGAAGCCAAATTTCTAAACGCACCATGACATGGGTACATAAAATTTAATTTCCTAAGTAGGTCCCTTTTTGATCAAACTGAAATTTGTTATCACCGCAATCGATGGTACCAGAACTGTTATCATCGTTTTCTGTGTCTGAACTGATTTCAGTATTGAACTGATTTTAATACAGTCCTTATCTATTTTTAAATCATACATCATTATATTAGAGACGTTTACTGATTTACTAACATTTGTATTTGGTTCTTGGTTTAGTTTCTGCGGAACAAGATAAAATATATTTCATTATGTATGTATCCGATAATCACGTGATATGTATTACAGTACCTTTGAATTGTTCGGTGGTCACAACCTGTGACGCTCACGTTATAAATACATTATTATATACTTATTATGTAACACGAGTCTAAGTTACTGGAATAGCAAAATGTAATTTATGCGCTATCCGTTAAAATAATATTTTGTTGTCTCACTAACTTTTAAACTAACTAAAGTGAAGTGCAAATACAGTTACAATTTAGGTAAGTATGTACTATTTGTAAATATTCCTATTTGAAAATATTGTAAATCAGATCACATACTTTCGTTTATTTTCTAGGTAGATACTTCCTATACCTGGGGATAGAATAGCAGCCTGATTGCATTAAGATGTAATCGGGTCACGCCACGGCTGACGGGGGAAGTGTTTTCCCCTGGGATATGGCCTGATTAGGCATGATGTCAATTTAGGGAGGACCTGAAATAACATGGTCCGGTTCCTCCCCCCAGAGTAGGACACCTAAGGCCGGCCGTAGGGTGGTTTTTAGTGGAATCACCACATACTACTGGCTCATGAGTCCCCGAGGAGCAGGAGATCCGAAGGGATTTTCCATCCCGTCAAAAGGTACTTCAATACCTACGAGTTTTTACAAAGCAAACATTGTTATTTTCGATAAAGTAAACAATGAATTGATTACAGGACTAACGGTAAGTTCTGTTTACATATACATAAGTAAGTTAAATTGCTCTTAATTTGTAAACTACACAAGACTAGATACTAATATAATAATATTACCTTCTAAGTAACGCTGTGCTAAACATTCTCATGTCAAGTTGATTGTTAAGCTCTAATTTCCTCAATAGCGACAAGTATACATCGAGCCTCCTCGGTGCTTGTGAGTCAGCTAATGAAGACCGGTAACAGTCTCGCAAGTGACTCGGCACGCTTGGCACTACAGCACTTTTTGCAACTACACAAAATAATATTGGTCCTTTACGTCACAATCAATCAATATGATAATAATGACCCAATACTTAATTAAAACACTAATTAAATTGTTTTTATTTATGTATATAATGTTTACTTACGGCTAAAAAATAAAAGCACATGGAACATGTGTGTTTTCATTTTTACAAATTCACATTATTTTTTAAACAATAGTAATCCTACAACACAATGTGTTGTCACACGCCAAGGTGTACCTACTAAAATATTTTTCATCGTGGCCTGATAAGATAGCGATTATGAATCAGCGAGTTACTTCACATTGTTTCCAAAGATAAAAGAATGCTAATTGCAGGGAGTGTGATTCAAATGAAATAAAATATATTTTAAAAATAATTTACCTTTATTGGCAATCTTTATTTTACATTATTAGTCTAGATTTTAGTTATTTGGCGTGAAAAAAATTTATATGCACAAAAGGATTTCACATCGTGCCAGTTCGACCGGAATAATACCACATCACAGGACTCCGGTACTACACACTTCTTGTGTTACTTATCGAGTGAGGTTATCGCAGGTCCGAGCCGTTTTTCTGCCGGGGACTCAAAGGGACTTAAATATCATACTATTTAATATAACCAACTATACAAACGTAAACTAAAATTGTACCCTTTGATCTTTAAAACATACTGTGCCACTTTATAATTTGGCATTAAATTTTCGTAATACTATGCAGTCATATAGTACAGAATAATCTTATTATATAATAAAACATTTGTTCTAGTGTAGCATAGTCTGAATATAGGGCTTAATACACAGTTATACCAGTTGCTTTTCGATTAATTTAATTAGAGTATTATAGGAAAATCAAATCAATAGGAGATAAGAAGAATCTCTGATAGCAATGGTTCTTAAAACCAACCAACCCAGATTATTCAACGCAAAACAATTTGGATATACTATTTATTTACAGATACAGCAAGTAGGTACAACTGAATCGATATCCATTGAAAAACTAAATAGATATCAAATATATCAATTCATGTACCAAGAGTTATAAGGAATAACTTTTTAATTCCTAATTTTTTTAAATGTGTGGAAAGCACCTCATGCCCTCACTCCACCGGGGATTGCGGCGAGGTGATGTTTCAGAATCGAACGGACTAAAACCACAAAGTTTGCACACTCTGTGCCTGAAATAGGAGGGATCCAGGAACAGCTGTTATTAAGACATCCGGTCCCCTCCTAGAACTCCTAAATTTTCGCACGGTGGTTTCATTTGCAAGTAGTTAAGCAAAGTACAATGCGTTACAACAAATAAATCACTTTTTTTTTTAATATTAAAAAAGGATTCCGTGCCTTCCTCAAATTAGTCAGGTTTTGTGCACTCTGGTTTGTCCCAGGGACCAAAATCAGTCTGTGCGCTACACTCAATGTGGATAAGATACAAGCTCTACATTCCTATCCCAAGATATTCTATAAGTAAATTGGATTTAGTTGTTCCTAAAGATTGATAGAACAAATGGTAAATGAGGCCATATTAATAGGAAGAATACCTACAAGTACATCCAGAACATTTCTGTATTCAAAGTTACTTTTACTACAACTGTTATATTAATATTATATTATTCTTGATGTGGAACAAAATATTATACACAGGATGGTCAAACATCCCTTTAACAAAAATATAAAACAAGTTGTAAGTAAGTTACCTTTTACATTATTGTTAAAATTGCTATCTGTCATATAAATGCAATATTTTTCCAACATAATGAACTAATTAAAAAATATCACAGTATTATCGAAGAACTAACTTCGCCGGTTTTCCATCCACTTGTCGTGATGAGCCGTGTTTTAGGGTAAACTCTCTCTTAATGTATGCAAAAAGTAAATCCGTTATGAGGAATATTTGTGCAGTGGCAAAGGACAAAGTCACTCCAAAGAAGAAGTTGGCATTGGCTGACCCTGAATATATCCACAAATGCCAAACTGTCGGTCCAAGGACAGATGTGATGATAAATGCACACCCAACAATGAATTTTTGCTGCATGACTGTAACAATTTTTTATTAATAAATTAAAATATACATTATTATGAAATCATAACACATTCAATTTATAAATCTTGAATAATCTAGTAACTTTAGATTTGTTAGTTAGTCTACTATTAGTATTTTACTAATTCTATTGGTTCCTATTAAAATTCTGGTGTACTAACATGTTTTAAATTCATGTGTTATTGCAAAATGTAGAATGACACATTTTAGAAGAATTATATTTATATTAACAAACTATGTATACCTATGTATACAGTGGCATTATATATTATGGTGTTGATATAAGGCTGTGTGCAAATAGCCATAAACCATTAGTTAAGTAGTAAGAGCTACACTACATTCTACAAAATATATGTTTGTAATTTAATTTATTTACTTACATGTAAATAAATGTTTCCACAGTGGTAGTAAGGCCAGATAAAATCCAACATCACCTATGCAAGGGTATGATCTAAATATAGTAGACAAGGCAATGAGTACAGTAGCAAGTAATACAGGCTCCTTTCTAAATCTCAATGTAAGCGGTACAATATATAATGCTAGTGCATTGATTTGAAATGCACACACAAACAGTAATCTGAAGTGCTCAAACATTTCCGTGAAGAAATACCAAAAAAGACCAATATTTGGTTTCAAATCTGGAACCGTCAATCTGAAAGAGTTTAATAAAAATATCAGTGAAATTACAAAAAAAGTAATGCATTCATAGGTTTTTTGATATTGGATTGCTTTGTTGTGCTGGTATTTTAATCATTTATTAATAGAAAATCAAAGCAAAGAAATTGGTTAAAAAGTTGTAGGTGCTTGGCTATTGTGTAACTTGGTATTTTATTTTCAATCCATCTCATAAAGAACATAATTATTTAGCTTCATTGTAGTTGTAATAACAAGTAAGCAACAGCTACATATCAACTGCAGTGCAGCAGAAGTTTTACAATGAGGATATTTTGAATAAACAAATTTCACTTAGACTTAACTTCATCATATCATTTAAATAAAATTTAATTTAAAATTTAATAATTAAATAAATTATATAAAATGTAAAGTAACAATAGTTGAAGAATTCATACTCACATAAATCCATAAGTATTGTAAACATAGTTGTATGAACCATCCATAATGTAGGCAGATAAGTATATTAAGAAACCCCAGCTCAACACAAAAACTAGCAACGTTCTTATATATGAGCATTTGTTGCAACCTTTATTTATGTCAGCTAGTAGTATAGCAATCGGCACAATTAATAATAATGGGTACAGTGCTTGATGGGTTGCTAGTGCGATAAACACACATGCAATAATTCTTTTGCCACTCGAAGCTCCCCACAGTGCAGTTGCTAAAAGTAAGTTCTGTATAACCGTTGTAGTCATACCAGCACAGTTCAAAACAGAGTATGGATTAAACAAATACACTGATAATACATACTCTGATGCTTCCTTCAATTGAGTGTCACTGAGAAGCATAGTTTTAGACTCTTCTGCTACCTCAGGCAGAACCGCTTCTTGGGATTCCTTGAAAATTCTTGTAAAAGCCTTTGAAGTTTTGTATAGAAGATGAGCAGTCAACAGGTCTAATATCGTGAATAAAATAGGTAATATAATTGGAGCTTTAGTCAGTAGAAAATGGAAAAAAATTAACATAATTGGTGATTCATGAAAACTATCTCCTTCATATGGGTTTATGTTGTGGTCATATAAATAAACCCCTTCCATTAACCTCTTCCATGAGTTAAGCGGCGTAGCTATTTCAACTCTGTTAGCTATCGTTTGCCAGTAATCCAAATGTATCAACCAATATCTTACTAAACCCGCTACCAAATATTTTATAACTACACCCATTTTCTTTTAACAGTTTGGGTTTATGTGATACCAAAGAATAAATCATAGATTTTTTTCCAAAATTCGAATTATCTTAGACGTTTGACAATTCTAACTTGCTACAAGGGGTATATATGTTCTGTGGCTACAAGTTAATTGTCAAAGTTAGAGTAAAGAAGATATCAGAGGATAACCGACTGTTGAAAGAAAGAGATACGAAATGGCGTTCCAAGTACCTACAAAACTATCATAATATACATATCATATTCAATTAGCAATGGAACGTCTAGTTGAGTGAAGTTGATTCGTTCTGAAATGTCTTTCTGAGTAATAAACTTTTAGGTTTAAAACAACGTTACCCAGGCAAAATTCTTTTTCATAAAATCGTTTTAGCCCTAACCAAAAACATGAATAGATAGCTTTTGTTGTGTTAAATGTGAAATTTTTGTTAATGGTTAAATGTGTGCGTGTTGTGGATCTTGTAATTTAAGATTTTTAAGATAAAATGACGAGATTGAAAACTCAACACACAAGTCTTTGCTAATAGTAACTGTTTGAAGTTATTGGTTAAAGAAGATTTTGCAATTGGTGAACAAATTACTCTTTATGACAGACCAATTATCTGTTATACTCTCACCTCTTTAAAGCACAACTTTTTGCTGCGTAATGCACACGTCTTAACCATATTTTAAGCGCTCCCGGGCGAGCCATGCATTTGACACTCGTTTATATCGTACTTATTTATAAACATTTTTATTTCTTTAGGCATTACTTACAACCATCCTCACAGGCTAAACCTTATATAATAGAAGTAGGATATTGTTTACCACAGCAGCTTACACTAACTTACAACTATATATATGGCCTGTGTGAACTCACTCAGCGAAGACGACAATAAATCTATTTTTTGAGATAGGTACCGCGTTGAGCACAAGCAACGTACGCGTCAACGGTGCAAGTTGTAGAAGATTAGTACGTGCACACGGCACCTTAACTAGTAGCCACCTTCGCCGTCCTATAAATAATGCTTTTAATGCTCTAATATTCGTAAACTGCTTTGCTTGCCGTAACGCAAATCCTAAATTACGGTACGCTTTTTTACAAACATTGGTTACGTGCTGTATTGTATTGGTTCTGTTTGCGTCCGATCACAACTTCCGGCAAAGTTGTGATCGGACGCAAACAGAACCACGTGAAAGATTGTGCAAGAAAGTTATTGATAACGTACGTAGTTTTATTAAAAAATATATTTCAATTTGTTTATGAACTTTTACGTATAACAAAGAGAATGAATGAATTATGAATAAATGAATGAATTAACCGTGAAATAATTGTAAAATGAAAATAAAATAGTTTTTCGATACCATTTTTTTATGCTCGCCGAGCAGAGCATTTGTGCAAACTGTGCACTTTTGAAATTATTTAAAGTAGGTATATTAAATAAATGCGTTAAATAAATGATGTTAAATAAATGCGTCAAATAGTTGAAGATGCGTTCTTTGGCCTTCCTCCGCTTTCGTATCAAAAACTATCATAGATACGAAAAATGTTTATTAAAATTGTTTTTAAAATAAAATACGAGTATAAAGTCATAGAATGGACGTATTTCTTTACACGATGAGAATCAAAAAATTGTATGTTCATTCTATAATTAATGCACAAAAACTATTTCTTTGGTGATTTAGAACGTTACTAGCATATTGTAATTACTAAAACGTAGACGGTTAAATATAAGACAGGAGGTCTAATCATAGTGTCTAATATGACTACCACTTGTGTTGACAAGTGGCAAAATGATATGAGAGATACTAGATGAGTAAAGATTTAATACGCTGAACCTTTTTTTTTCAATCAAGAGAGATAGGTCTAACATTAAGTGGCGAAGTTAAGCTAGCGCGTGAGACGCTTTGTAGATCCTGGCGCCTCTGGCGACGCCCAGGCCACTTCCCTTAAAGCTGGCCCTGGTCCTACCCTGTTTTTCAGCAGCATAGTTTTACAAAGATGATACAGAAAAACAATCTCTCGTAAATCTTCGGGGTTTACGATGTTTAATTTATTCTAATTAGAGGTTTATGTCACCACTTCACCTCTATTCATCCCGAAGAGCCGGCTGAAGGGAGCAAACTACCCAAAACAGCAGCATCGAAAAGAGAAGTAAAACTTGACACGAACGCATCTGGCCAGCGTAGTATAGTAGGCCAAAACCTCTTTTCTAAGAAAAGGCCTATGTTCAGCAGGAGAAGAGTAAAGGCTGTTGATGATGATGAGAGTTTTATGCCCTTTTAAGTATCATTATTTTTCATTTAAGTTCAGTGTCTATGTAACAGCTATTTAGCGAATGGACGTGCCATACGAAGCAGAACGAGGAAAAAGTTAAATTCTCGCACTACAGATTTATCTTTTTCTTTTTAGATTAATTTTCCAATATCATGTATATATTTGTTTAGATTAGTTTTGGTTATTACCAAAACTCACATTAGTTTGAGAATCACAAGGTAATGCAATCTTCATGGTCTAGCTGGTTTAATAAAACTCTAGTATTTATTTAAAATCTATACTAATATTATAAAGCTGAAGAGTTTGTTTGTTTGTTTGTTTGTTTGTTTGTTTGAACGCGCTAATCTCAGGAACTACTGGTCCGATTTGAAAAATTCTTTCAGTGTTAGATAGCCCATTTATCGAGGAAGGCTATAGGCTATATATCATCACGCTAAGACCAATAGGAGCGGAGCACCAATGAAGAATGTTTCAAAAACGGAGAAAATTTATTACTATTGAGAGACGCAGACGAAGTTGCGCGGGTCAGCTAGTCTATAATAAGATTAGGCACATACAGTAGATAAATCTTGATTTAACAAATAGAAAAAACAATTTTATCCGACTACCCGTTTCAATTTATGAGAATTATATTTTGTTTAAGGTAATATGTGGTTAATATAATGAAGGGGGCGGTGTACTGACCCCCTCCCCTCCCTTCAAATGAAAGGTGGGGAGCCCCGCTTTTCGGGACTGATTCAGAGCGATTTCTGTATCTATTTTGAGACTTCAACGTCTCCGGTGCTGCGGGAAGAGCAGCCTCTATGCCCGCTGTAACAAATCGTAGGCATCGGACGAGCCGGAGCGGCTGAGACTGCTCTCCCTACGCGCCTCCGGCTCTATAAAAATACTCTATGAGTAGGAAAAACTCGTACCAGGTCGACCTGGTACGAGTCTTTCCTACTCATAGAGTAGAGTAGAGGTCGGGGTCAATCAATAATTCGCTTCTTTGACATAAGTTCAACCTAACCTATCTTATTTGTTATCTGCCCTAATAGGTGCTGTTAAAATAAAACCATGGATTGTAATGTATATACTAGAGAATAAAACAAATTTCGTTCCACAAGCCGGCAAAAGACGGTAAACACTTCACATTTTAATTTTAATAGCTTGTAATGAAAATAATGCTGTAATTTAATATATATAAACTGTTAAATATATTTGTGCATGAAAACTATTGAATAAAGTACAAAATATAATTATTTACGTAAATTTATATAAAATAAAATGTTACGCATGTTGAAACTTTGCGTCGTTACTCATAATAATGTAACCTTTCTGTAAAAAAAAAACAAGCACCAACTCGACGGACGTTAATGGAAAGCTGAATTTACGCTCTGAGCGGATGGGAGCGAGACCGAAACGCCCGGGGTACGCTTCTAGAGACATTATTATTCGTAGTTGTATACCCATAGTACTTCATACAAAGAATACTAAATGCTCGAGGCGAGGCAGTGGTGGTCGGGTTTAGGGTGGGTGACACCAATGAGCTATGAAGCTTTGAACCTCCTCTGACACACTTAACACAAATACTTTACATCAATAGATATATATTTATATACATTTTCTATAGTTACAAAATAACTACCCACTAAAATCATGATTAACCCGCCAATTCCCACTTTTTTTCTTACCAACTTGATTGATAGATAAAAAACCTAATAACTACTTAGGTTAGTTAAGTATCACAGAAAGATAAAACTTAATAATTACAATGACATAATTAGTTCGCTATGTAAACTATGAGGAAGCAGGAAACAGTTCATCATATGGAACCTTAGAGAAAACTTTATTAGCAATGGCAGTGCCAATTTTATTCCAGTTTTCTTGAGCGAATGGCAAAAACTCCTTATACAAAGTTCTCCAGTTGGCATTTGCGAAGCTTACACCAAGATCAGCTAAAAAAGGTATGAAGAAACATTATTTACAAAATTACTATACATAATAAATTATAATTAAGACTACTTAATACATACTTTAATAGTGAAACACATTAAAAAGTAGAAAAGAGTTCTACTTCTGGCAACATCATCAGCCTATCATTACCTACGTACTCTTACTAAGCCGGGCTTAGTAAGCCCAATATGTTGGACTCATCGAGTGAGCCATATTTATCAAGTTTACCAATATTTTCAGCTGAACTACATATCGATACTTGAACTAAAATTAGGTTAAAGTTTACTTCCAAGATATGTTTACATAGTTAGTGAAGTTTATATTATTAAAGTATATGCCACTACAATATTTAATAGACTCTTACTCAATTCTCTGGACTCAAGGTTCTCGTTTTCTAAGGCAGTAAACATACTTCCAACATCAGGTCGCATATAAAATTCTGTGATACGGACATAGGTATCATTCCCTTTTTTTTCCGGAACTCCGTCTAATTTCCACGTGTATGTCAAATCAGCTGGAAGATTATATATAATTTAGTAGTGTGGGGGTCGAAAGAATATTTGTTCCTTCGACCTGTAAGTGCATAGCACCCAATATTGTAGACATTAATTGACGTCAGTTGACTTACATAACCATATTTCTCGTTTTCATGTTTCTCGATTTATATACCTGTTAAATTTTTGAACAATAAAGCATATTCTATTATAACAAGGTACTAAAAAGGGAACATTACAGGTTAAAGATTAGTTTAGTAAATACACACAGTTTCACAGCAAGACATTTTTTTTCTTATTAAACGAAATGTGGGACATATAATTTATAACATAAAAGTTAATCATCCTAACTATTTTCATGTAATTATCATAATTTTAGAACTTTGCTTACAACTGCAATAAAGGAACGTTCAAGTGTTGTTAACAAAACGCATACCTACGCTTTCTAAACTTGCCATGCATAAAATATAAATAACATAAAAAACGATATGCTTATATCGAAATCAATGAATAAGCTCACTAGTGTATTTAGCAGTTAAAAAAAAACACATCGTTTTAAATAATGTTGACTGTAGGTACAGATTATATTATTATTATTACAGGAATATCATTTTAAATCAATTAATTTGCGGAAATACCTGGTAATAAGTTTTATTCAAATCGCTTAGATTAATCGTGATATTATGTAAAAAAGTAGTTAAACTGATTTAACAGGGCAAAATTTTATTGACGGATCAAGAAAATTGTGAACATAGAGATATAAGCATAGAGAGAACACGGGGTACAGCTGCCTGTAAGTCGAAGCGATACAGGCAACAAGAGAGATTGGTGCCCGGTATTTCCCTGTCTTTGTTTAGCTCTCTGTTTAGCTAAGCTGTGATTGGCTACTTATAAACCCCTCATATTCCCCCGCTAACCACAGAGCTCGACTAGAAAGAGATAGAGAGGACTATATATTATCCATCTCTCTGGTTGCCTATATTGCAAGATTGGAACTCTTGTTCTCTCTAGGTTATATCTCTATGATCGTAAACGAATACTTTTGAAAGATGTCTAGGTTAACTTGTTGATAGCAATAACAACGTATTTGTAACAGCCAGCTGTCATTGGTATCAACTTCAGATCAGCCTATATGTAAACTGAAATAACTTTTGAACGCAAAGTTTTAAAAATCTGGTAAATAAAAACTGTAATTATTGATGATATTACCAGCCAAGTAAATACAACAATAATCCCTACCAAAAGTCCCCTAAATGCCTGCCATTGTCCTTTTTTATTATTGGTTATTATTGTCTAGCAGGTCCCTAGAGATTAATGTTTTTTTCTATCTGCCATTATTCAAAAGGCATCCTACCATTTCTGCCCGATAAAAACCAGATAAGCCATAAATAAGCTTGTCTATGGTTGCACCGATTTGTATTCACCACTTGGCAACATTTCTCTAGCTTTATGTAACTTACAAAAACTGTTATTTTAATAAGTAGGTATACTTACTCATTGTCGTATTAATTGTACCATAAGCATAAATATTCAAAACGTTAAACTTTCCTTCTCCCCGGTAGTTCGTAGTTATCGTCACTTTAGGAGTTGTTAAATCAACTTCTAGGTGAAATTTATCATCATCTGCACGTAATCTGAAATTCAAAAGCACATTCATTATCCATTGACTAACATGTGGTAGTTAGGTATATTACCCATAAACGTAACTAACCAGTAAAATAACTAAAAAAATATATTATTTGTTCCTCAATAAGCTGCTGATGTTGATTATGTTGACCTTTTAGGTACAGATAAGATAACAGTTACTTTTTAGGGTAACTGCTTGGCCGTGCACATGAATGTCAGCTGTGCTCGAGCTACATCGACGCAAGGGCCTTATATTATTTATAAATAAATCTAAGGCAAGGGCATCCGAACGAATTACCGCAAACGTTTTATTTTATTCCATTAGTGACTTTATGTTACTTCCATAAATAATTTTGTGACTAGTTATATAATAGGAAAATGGATTCATACATTATCAGGCGTATATGGCTAGACATGTAATTAGGTAGTTAATTATTTAAAAATGGTAAAATGGTACCTTGCATCCTTAACTATAGAATTCTTTAAGCCTGTGACATATGTATTTTTCATAACCAGTTTCACTGCGAGCTGAAAACCAAAATAAATATTATTATTAAATCATTATTTGAAAAGGAGATACCTATATGCAAAAAAATGCAGGTCTCGTAAAGCAGTTTTTTTACCGCAAAACGTGAGATTGAATGGTTGATTTGATTTGAACAAACACCATTTTTTAGTGACCGTTTTAATATTAAATATGTAACTTGGCCATAGCATGGCAATGTGAGAATAATACTCGTATATACTGTCGACTATTTAAAATAGATCTACACCTACGCTAGTAATTTCTGCTTACACAAAAAAGCATGATGAATAAATACACAGGCATTCCATGCCCAATGATGGCTGTCACATACAGACATCAGCTCCTCACATATAAATATTAGACTAGATTGTGTCACGTACCTAGATATATGTATACCATTGTTAAGAGAAAAAAAAAGAAATATTATAATAAGCGCTCAGACTAATGTGCTTGATGTCCTAATTTTTAACAAAAATAACACGTGTTGAAAAACAAACATTTTCCACATTTACCACCCACAGGTGCAGGTCTCTGTAAGTATTATATTGGTTATTCATAGATAATTATTATTATCAGAACTACTACCTACTACTCTTTCGGGTACATTACCATCACTCTTAACTGCCTCTCACCTTGAGTCAAGTCTTCACAAGTGTTAAGGTCTTCCTTTGACGTCTCATTACCTTTACATTGACCTTATTAGCCCTTGGACACCTTTCAAGAGCAGAAGTACCAAGCGAGTCTAACGTTACTTCAAGTCCAGCTGACAGAAATGTATTTTACCGTACTCTCGTCAACAAAAAAGGAACGACGTTTTCGATGGATTTATTAAAAGGGTTTATAATGACAGTTTTGTACCCAAAAGAGTAGCTCTTAAAAAGATCTACAAAAAAGTCCACGATGGTATGTATATATGTTTTTATATATTAAAAAAATATGAAACAATATTGGGCAATTAACGAAGCAATTTTGAAAAATACAGTATTATCCCTTATCCAAATAAATACGTTTCATACTTTGTGAATTTAATGTAGATCAAAGCTGCTACATAATAACCATATCCTAACCTTACAGGATATCATTAAAGCAAATATCTTAGTAGATATTAGAGATTTAAAATGAGGGAGTGGAGTGGGCCTATAAATACTGCAAAATATAAAGATGTCATGTAGTATAGTGTTAAAATAATAATAGCATAATTAATTACTCCGCACTGACACCACATTAGTAGTAGTAGTATGGGTGGCTACAGGTTGTTAGAAAAGTACCGAACATCAGAGTAATTCGCTTGGGATGTATTTTTCCTAAATACGTTAAACACAAAATCTTTAACTGAACTACAAGCCTCTAAACTAGGCGAATCCTGTTCACTACTATCTCAGCGAAAAAAAATGATATTCAAGCAAACTCAACGTCAATGGAAAGCTGAAGACTTGAACTTTAAGATACCCTGTGTACTTTTTTAGGCATAATAAAATTTGAAGAGTTACATAACCTCAAAAATAAGCAAAACTGCCGTTTTTTGCACTTTTAGGTTAGAATATCTCAAAAACTTGACTTGATATTCTCGAGCAATTCTGCTGCCGGATTTGGATTCAGCGCATCAAAATCCTACTAAAAAGTTTACTCTGTGTAATCTAAAGGAAAAAAACCCTGAATCTTGTAGCTTGTCTCTTGGCTGAAGAGAATAATCAATTTCCTATGGCTTTGTGAGTTTGACCTTGGACTGGTGATCTTTAGAGGTTAAAATTTGCTTACTGAAAGTCATGTCCAATTGTATTTTTTTCTTTTCTTTTTAATTCCGGGCTCAAAAATAAGCAAACCCATTTGGAAATTGCCCTTGACCCTTGAGATAACCTTCAAGGTTGTAATCAGGTTTGATTTCAAGGTCACCAATGGATAGTGTTGAACGTATTTCCGAAAAATGCAGTCCTAGCGAGTTATTTCCTGTTTCGGTACTTTTCTAACACCCGGTATATTGCACCCGTGCGAAGCCGGGGCGGATCGCTTGAGAAGTTACAAATAAAAAATAATATAAATACGCTTAGGATATAGGGTTGCCGACTGGTTAAGGAGCCAACGGAGGACCATCAAAAAGTGTATATAAAACATTGATATACAAAAAACCCATTGATATAAAAAAAAAGGGTTTTTTTGTATATCAATGATATAAAATGAACATAATACGAATGAAACTACAGAACATATTTATAAGGTGCACAATGATTATAAGGTTTATGCTCTTGAATACTCTTTATGTAAATACCTAAGTAGGTCTCGGCAATCGAGTCTGATCGCGGCCTACATTTTAAATAAAGTACCTACGAACAACACCTTTGTAAATAAATCATTATTATACATACATACTGAGTTACGTTACGTCTTTTTTCCCCGAAGAGGCGTATTAAACGCTTACGTTTTGCCTACCATAATTTTAGTGGCACTTACGTAGGTCAACCAGGCACAAAGGTATAATATCTTCTATATACATACTTATAAATAAAATAAAGTTTCTGTTTGTAATATCAAAATAATAGGTTTTATCATGCTCACAAGGTTTTTCAACGATAACTATGCCTAAAAACCAGTTTAAATATTTATGTCTGTCTGCCTGTTTGTTCCGGTTAATTTTCAAAGCGGCTGGACTGATTTTGAAAGTAAATAATAAAATCCTTTTTTTTTCCCCATATTTGCAGAATAAATTACAGTTTTACAGGTCACTAGATGATTGTGGGAGACTGGTGCCTAAACTAGGCGTTAGCTAGCTAGTTTTTCAGGTCACCAGGCCTCCATTCACGGTTTAGTTTCTATTTCTTTTTCAATATAGAGCAGATTGTGTTGAGAACTATTTTACAGGGTGATGTCAGGGTTGGTTATTTTATGTGTACGTGTGGGTGCGTGCGAGTGTGTTTGTGTGTGTGTGTATGTGTGTGTGCGTGTTTGTGTGTGCGGGCCATTGCAGATGCTTGTTATTTGGGGATTTTAATTAGTTTAGCCGTGTTTTCATAGTTTAATGTCAACAACCATTCGCTCAATCGGTTTTTGCATGCTAATTTCGTTAGAGGAAATATGTCTGAGGTCTTATTTATTTTGTTGTAGATAGAATGAAACTCCTCCGATGAAATAAAAGAATCGGTTGGTGAAGCGGGTGTAGTGTTTGGTGGCATCGGCAGGATTGTAGCGTCTTTTTCCCTAGTGAGAAGATGGGTTATAGGTCAGAAGTCTGTGCTGTTTAAGCACTGAAAAGAATAAACAGTTGTCATACCGTTAGAACTTTGATCTCCTTATAAAGGTCCTCAGTTGAGTAGTGGAAAGGTAGGGAGTATGTGACTTTTAAGATTGCCCGCTGAGCGCGTTCTAACTATAACATTGTGGTTTTGTGTGTACCGCTCCATGTCGTAATTCAGTATGTAAGCAAGGACTGGTAAAGAGTATAATAGACCATTTTCCTCAAGCCTTTTTCCGCCACGCCTATTAGGTTCTTAAATATGTATGTTAGGTTTCGAATTAGTAAAGTAAGGACTTCGATGTGTGGATGAAGGGTTCAGTAGGGAGCGTGCTGTACATGGCGGTTCATTAATATTTATTAGAAAGGATTTAACTTATAGGAACCGTACTGATATTTTAGGCTTCTCTGCTGAGCGGACAATAGAAATAGCATGTGTGGAGTTAGAGCAACTTATTGTATTGAGTGTATACAGGCCTCCATCCTCATCATATGTTAGTTTTGAAAAAATTATGAAGTCTTGCAAAAAGTATTTAAGTCAAACAAAAGTGTAATTGTGTGTGGTGATTTTAATGTAAATATATTGGAAGATACATCCTTGAGTTCAAGATTTAAAAACCTATTTGGGTCATACAATATTGATAATATTTTTTTTGGAGCCTACTAGGATCACAGCCACCACAGCCAGGTGCATAGATAATATATTTACTGACATAGTGCCACACACCAAAGGAATAATAAACAAACTACATTCTGATCCCTGTGGACAGATGTGTTTTTGCTATGAAAAACAGAATGGTGGTAACACGAGATATTACTGTAGTACCTAAAACTGTAACTCGTATGGAAAATTTCAAAAATAAACTCCTTAGTAAACTACCCCGCTTGGGTAATAGTGATGATACTAATCAATTATATAACTTTTTTTAACATGTATTGTTCAGAATTTAAATCTACTTTCCTCCTTAGAAGTTGTCAGTTAAAGGTGCTACAACCTTCAGTGAATGGGCCACCGTAGGTATATATAAAAGTAGAACAAGGCTTTACAAGCTTTATGAAGAAAGAAATTATAATACTAGTATGGAATTTCGAGAATATGTCAAACAATATTCTAATTTATTTAAAAAAAATTGTTATTCTACAAAGGTTAACTATTTAAGGTCTAAAATTAGTAATAGTTCAAATAAAATTAAAATGACCTGGGAAATAATTAATACAGAAACTGGTAAAGCAAAATATTGTAAGGCTGTAATTATTACAAATGTAATAATTACAGCCTTACAATTGATAATAAAGTAATTAATTCCGATATACATAGATGTCGCCACAGCTTTTGAAAAAAATTTCACAGACATTCCAGTCTCAATAACAGAATCATTGAATTCGTCCCCCACTATTACACATTTGTAATACTGAGTTTAGATTTAGTTGTATCACTGATAGAGATATAATAAAAACGTTCAATTCTCTTAGTGTTAAGAAAACCGCCGACCTTTGGGGTAATTCTGTACAAATAACTAAATCAATTATTAGCGTAGTTGCATCAGAGTTGGCCTTAATTTTCAATAGGTGCATTAAATGTGGTGTATTTCCTGATTTGATGAAACATAGTAAGATCATTCCCTTATTCGATGCGGGTAGCACGTCAGATCCTACAAATTATAGACCAATTTCAGTGTAGCCTACTTTCAGTAAAATTTTTGAGAAGATTATACTGGATCAGCTACAAACTCACTTTAGTGCAAGCAAAATTCTACACAGGAAACAGTTTGGATT